TACTACTGTTTCCATGGCAACCATCAGATGACATGTAATCTTAGTGAGGCAAGATGTAAGAAGTATTCTCTTCAACAAATGCCTGAATTTGCTGGTATTGGGTTGTCAGAGAAGTCATGACGCATTTTTGCAATGAAAAACATAGAAAAAAATACCTCATGACTTTTCTGACAACCATATAGAATGTCCCACTGGGAGATTACCAGACTACTTAGCTGTCTCCAAAATCTAAACTTGGCTTTTCCATATTTCCATGTTTAAACATTTAGTAGGAGATAACTTTTAAGACAAAAATCTCACCATGGTTTGTTTTTTTTTCCTATGAGGAAAGAGCATTATGCTTGAATTCTGTTTGAATAGTTTTTGCAAAATGGACATAACAGCTAAGATAAATCTGAAGGGGGGAAAAGGTTTTATATCAATAATAATTTATGTAGAGTTTTTGTGACTACTGACTAGTTATTAGGGGCATGATTCATCTGTCAGTTTTGTTAAAATACAAGGAAAGATTGTAAAATAAAATTCTTAATATTTAAAAATATAACTTTTCTGCTAAACACTGAACTCATTCTGTAATATGGGAATTTTATAGAATTTGTTCAGTACTCTGTGACATTTAGGAATATGTTATAGACAACCATGAGTTGAAAATGAGTGCATATATACGTTTTTCCCTGTGTTTAACAAATTTGTCTGCAGTGTGCCTGGCACGGTTCTGAGTACTGGGGTTATAGCAGCAAAGGAAACAAAGGCCCTGCCCTTTTGGAATTGTCATGAAGGGCTGAGAGTGAGGCAATAATTCAATTAAGAGGTATCTGTCTGGTGCAGTAAGTGCTATAAAGTAAAACGGAGGAAGGGAATAGAGATTAACATGCATACGGGTAGGGTGAACAGAGGAGGCCTCTCCGATGAGATGACATTTGAGAAGACACCTGAATGAGTGAGGGAACAGGCCCTGTGAATATGTCTTAAGGGAAGAGCGTTCCAGGCAGAGGGATAGCAAAAGCGCAGCTCGTGGTGCAAGAGTCTGCTCAACAGGGCCGAGGTCTGCATGGCAGCTAGTATGAGTGGAACAGAGAGAATGCAGTGGATGAAAGGGAAGATCAGAGAAGAGGTTGGGAGGGGGAAGGAAGCTTGTACAGTCTTACAAGCCATGAGAATGACTGGATTACATTTTATTCTGAATACGATAGAAAGCTTTTAGATGATTTTGAGCAGTGACATGGTCTGATTGGGGTTTCAGAGTATTGCTCTGCTGCATGGAGAACAGGTTTAGGAGGACAAGACTGGGAGCAGGGGGACCAGTTAGGTGATGACTGCAGTCAGTAGTCTAGGTGAGGGTGCCATGGTGCCAGCTGGAACTCGGATGGGAGAGTGGGGGCAGGAAGAAGTGGTAGGATGCTGGATATTCATTTTACTCAATAAATCCTCATATAGTGCTTATTATATGCCAGACGCTGTTTAAAAATGTGAGTTTTTAAAATATCAACTAATTTCATGCTCGTAACAACCCTGTGAGGTGAATTTCAAAGGTACAGCCCACAGGATTGGTAGATGGATTGGATGTGGGTGTAAGGGGGGAGAAAAAGGAGTCAAGGATAATTCCTGTTTGGGCTTAAAACCCTTAAGCGTGGAGTTTGCCAGCTCCTGAGAAAGGGAATACTCAGGAGAAGTATATTTGGGTGGAGGCCTTAGAATCAGGAGTCTGGTTTTGTGTTTGTTGAGTTTGAGTTGCACACTGGCTATCCACGTGGATACATTAGCTATAGGAACTGAAGTCAGAGACGAGGTGGGGGCTGGAGATAAATTACAAAAGAGGCCTCAGCCTTCAGGAAGATGCGCCCACAGGATGTCTGTTTTGTGCTGCTCCGTCTAACCTGCGGTGGGGTGTGAGGGCGGTCTGTCCTCGGGCGTGGTCATGTGGTGGCGTTTTCATTGGCTTTGGGATCAGGCCTGCATTTGAATACTAACTAGCTTCATCCTATACTAATTAGGTGCCCTCCACTATGTGACTTAAGCTCTTCTAGCTTCAGTTTCTTCATCTATAAAATGGGTTAACAAGACATACTCCATAGCATTAAGATAAAAAAAATGAAATAACGTGTGTTACCTAGAGCAGTATTTTGACGTAGAACGTACTCAAATAAACATTATCTTCCTTTTCTTCAGGTTTAATTTGTTGCATTCCACTCAAACGAACAGAACATGATCTTCCGGGATAAAAGAAATCTGAATTTAAAGCCCACTAAAGACTTTTTTTGGGGGGGGGGTGTCTATTTATAATCACAAGCGACAAAAAAGATTTCAAGTGTATCTCCTATTCAAAAATAATGATCTTATAAAAGACAGGACTTTGATGAGGTTTATAGAAGCCACAGGGAAAGAAGTTGTGGGTTCCCATATTAAAATGTTCCACATGCCAAAGCAGGGTGAAGGTGTGTAAGATAGGTAGACGCACCAAGCAGCAAATCCACAGATCAGTCATGGGCCATTTACATCAAAGACTAAGTAAATCTGCTGGAGCCATGGCGATGACCTCCAGGAGGAAATAATGCCCTTTCTGGGGGATGGGCTATTTAAATCAAAGGGAATGATCTCATTAATTCCCTGATGACCCTACTAGAATTTAGCTAAAGGGACACTCCTGGGGTTTAGCTTAATCCCACTTCTATTTTCAATAGTCATAGCTGGACTGTCTCAAAAAGGACTCACATAAGTGTTTAGATTTTATCTCATACAGTAAACATTTGAGCACCTACTATGTGCATGTACTTCTTTAGGGAAACAAAGATAAATATGAGATACGATTCTTGTCCTTAAGTCCTTCACGGTGAGGCGATGCCCTCCACAGCTAGACTGAAGAACAAAAGGATGGCAACTTGTCTGTCCCCCTTCCCAGATTCCCTGGCGCTGTTCCCCTCCCCCAATTCCCCAATAAAATCTTTAAAAAATTTTTTTTTAGAAAAAGAAGTCTAAAAGAAGCTGAAATTAAATTTGGAAAAAGAGAGAGTTTGATTTTATTTTGTTGTGCGTTTTTTAATTGTTTTCAAATTAGAACTATAGGTTAAGATTTTTATGTGCCTCTCTAGTCTGGGGGGGTGGGGAGAAACATTTGTTGAATTTATGGGACAAAAAAAAAAGATGGACAATTGATTATATAGCATTTGTAGATAAAAAGAACTACTGAACATGTAACCATTACTGCCTCATTGAACAGCTAGCCTACCATTTCAACATTATTACCATCCCACCTCCTCCAAAAACCTGTCCTATCCATTTCAGCACACAGTGATCTCACCAGAGAATCCATAAAAATACTAACCCCATTTGACCTCAAAAAAGCACTGAGACAGTTACTTGCCCTATCCTGCAGCTCTCCTCTCTACTGGATAATGTTTGGGCACTCCTCGGTGGGGGCTGGACTATGCCCTTAAGAGGAGGAGCATTTTTTTTTTAAAGATTTTTATTGGGGAAGGGGAACAGCCAAGTTGTTGTCCTTCAATCTTAGTTGTGGAGGGTGCAGCTAGCTCAGCTCCAAGCCCAGTCGCTCTCTGGCCACCCACTGGCAGCTTGTGGCCGCTCAGCTCAAGGTGCCATGTTCAATCTTAGTTGTGGGTGGGCATAGCCCACCATCCCATGAGGGAGTCAAACCGGCAACCTTGTTGTTAGAAGCATGTGCTATCACCAGCTGAGCCATCATGCCACCTGTTGGCAGCTCAGCAGCAGCTCAGCTCAGGGCACAGCTCACTGGCCCATGTGGGAATTGAACTGGTGATCCTGTTGCTCAGAGCTGGCACTCTTAACCAACTGAACCACTCGGCCGGCCCTCAATATTTATTTCTTGGCTGAATAGATCCCCCAATAGATATTCTAAAATATTATTGCAACTTATATTCTTTTTTTTAATTATTTTTTATTATGAAATACACATTTTTTAGAATTAGTTTCAGCTGTACAACACAGTGCAATAGTTATACTTTTTACCCCTTGAAGTGACAACCCTCCTCCCCCAATCCACCACCCCACTTCCCCCCAATATCATACATATCTATTACAAATCCCTTGACTCCACTCCCACACTATACTCCACGTCCCATGACTATATATATATATATATATTCACTTATAGTTGAATACAATATTATACAACATCAGCTTCAGGTGTACAGTGCAGTGATCAAGCCTCTTCCCCATCCATGATGCAAGACATGTGACCATCTGACACCCTACAAAATATTTACAACATTATTAATTATATTCCTCGAACTGTCTTTCATGTCCCTGTGGCAATATTGTGCAACTTACATTCTTTTAAAAGACTCTACTGCATATTCAAGAGAAGGTGCTGACAAACGAAATGGTATTTGGTTTTCGCTATGTTTCAGCATTAGAGAATAAATCGATTAGGGTGGGAAATTAACACCTTAGCCAGCACTCCCTAGAGAATTAACAGCTGCAAAAAAAGTCCTTGAAGCATGAAAGGCAAACATCTTAGCAGACTTGACAAGGAATTTCAAATAGTGTCCATGTGAAATGGAAGTGAGAACTGCAGACAGATGATTATCCTGGGGCCCACTGAGGAAATGGAGAAATAAAGGAATTTCTAGGGTAGTAGGTATATCTGTCTTACTCTTTCATGTAAAATACCGAGACTTTGTCTCAATTTAATAGATGTTTGTCGAGCATCTGCTATGTTCACAGTGATAATGACGATGACAATCTGAAAGTTTACTATTTCCTAAACCTGTTTCCTCTGATCAGCAAAGCGGCCTTGGACCTAGACAGTCATTCCTGGTAGAGGTAGGGGTAGGGGTTCGTCTTGTTTGGACCCTAGAGAACAGATGGTCCGGAGTGGGTTGGGCATGGACCTGTATCTCATCATGTACTCCTTATAGAATAGAGAGTTGTGAAGAGATTCTTGAGAAATGAAAGGCAAAAGTCCGAACAGACTCCCTTTGCCCAACTGGTGAGTCAGCTCTGAAGGTGTCCTCTGCTTGCAGGCCTCAGAAGTTGAGAGGCAACTCTCCATGCAAGTGCACGCCCTCCGAGAAGACTTCCGGGAGAAAAACTCGTCCACCAACCAGCACATCATCCGCCTGGAGAGCCTGCAGGCTGAGGTGAGCCTCCCGTGCAGCAGTGCTTAGAGCTGGAAGTGCTTTTCTCATCAAAGGCACTGCAGCCAGCCTTTTAGATAAGGAGCCCTCTGGAATGGGAAACAGACACCTGCTCTAACCAAAATCTCTAGAGAGACATATCTGGAGGCACTAAATGGGGAACGTTTGATCCACGTTCCTCTGGGTAGCCTGCCGTCTGGAAAAATAGGGTTGCTCAGCGTTACTGCTGAGTGTTTTGAAATCACGAGTGACCTACTTTTTACTGAATGTGTTGATTCCTCCAAAAACATCCCGGCCAGTCCTACCTAGAAGATGGGAAACGGAATCTTCCCTTTCTCCGTCCCGTTTCGATGCGGTTCAGTCCACCTTCAGAGGGCCTGTGACTCTCACCTAGACAATGAGAGTGACAGAAGTATCCACTTCATAGGCTTGTTGTGAGGACCTGATGAGCTGATACATGGAAAGCACTGAGTGTGGTGTTTGGAAGACAGTAAGGTTATTAAAAGCATATGAGAGGCCATCAGGGTTCATGGCCCTGAGTGTGGGCCAGAGGGAAAAAGAAAGCAGCACTTAGGAGATGGCACTGTGCAAGTCCAGTCGTGTGAGGCGAGAAGTGGGGGGTCCTATCGCCAGACAGGGGCTCTTTCCCGGGGAGGCTTCCACCTAATCTGTTCCTGGAGACCCCTCAGCCAAGTGTCTCAAGAGCAGCCCTTCGGCCCAGTTACACTTTGAGGGACAGGCTGGGGCCCGAGGAATGTGCGCCCTCACTGTGGCGAAGGAGTCGACCTGCGTGGTCAGTCCCAGGGAAGTAGGCTGCTCCCCTGATTCGTAAATGACCCGAAACTGTGTTTCTTAAAGTCTGTCAATATCTTCTCTTTTCTCCTGCCTCTTCTGCCTCTCATTCCCTTCCTCCCCCCCTTCCTTTGGAATTCCCACTGGGATTGAGCAGCAGGTTCTTGAAGTAAGTAGTGTGTTCCTGGGTTCGGCATGCCGTCTGTGACCATTTGTGTGCATGACTTGCCTTTCAACTGCCTCCTCCAGGGTCCGACTCCTCCGCGCTGCCTGTCCTCTCTCCCCTCCCCCACGCCCCCATTCACTGTTTCTAGACCCTCGTGACACAGGGTCATTCCCAGGAATGTTTATTGCCAGATTTGGTCCCAAGTTTCAGGGTGTGTATGGTGGGGTGAGGAGCTGGTCACCCAATGCCCTGTTTCATCCAGTAACACTACTGCTTGTAAAAGCCAAGCTATGAAATTGTTCATTCAGATAAGTTACTTCATGGGGTGGGAGTTGCGTCTCAGAACCATAATGCTTCATTACTTCACTGAGTGGAACTGGGGAAACAGATTCTCCATGGGAAGGAAAATGTAAAGGTCAGAGGGTATTTAAATGAAAATCAGCTCGAGTGAGAATTCCCTTCATGTGGGTAGCGTTGCTTCAGTGTGGGGAATAGTGGGCCCATTCACAAAAGGGGCCTGCTCCTGTTGGTTCCTTACCCAGGTGCACACTTGAGAGACAGTATTTCTTTGTTTGGCCAGACACCTGATCTCTCTGGACAAAGGCCACATACTTCATTTCCCCAGGACGGCATCCTATCTGATTGATTGGTGGCCAGGGAAGATCTGCGCCCTCTGAACAGAATTCTAGTGCTGAGAGTGAGGACAGCCAAAAAGCAGAGGGAAAGGTGGATTTCAGAGGACCTGGGACAAGATAGACGTTCATTTTGAAATCTCCCCTGGAAGAGGTCTGAGGTTGGTCCCCTTAGTGAACGGTTATCGCCACTAGGCCAGAGAGCAGAGAGCCTCTTAACCACGTCAGGAGGATATTTACAAGCAGGAGGCTGGCTGAGAAATCACACACTAGCTGATAAGAGGAGCCAAGGGGACCTTCAGGACTCCAGAAGTCCCCCAAGGTCACAGGCAATAAGCAGGACTTGGGAAGGCGCCCCATGGTCCCGAGCAGGGCGCTGTTCTTGGGGTGAAGCATAGCTAGCCTTGGAGAATGCCAACGCAGCTTCGCATCCTGCAAACCTTGAGGCCAGAGAAAACTTGGCATCTCTTTTCCTCTGTTTTCCAACTGAAACTGAAAGACTAGACAGACCTTCCTAAAAGGTTTATATCTCTTTGGAGACTGGCTAGATAGTGTACAAGCATACCACCTTGTTTAATAAAAGGAGAGAAACTGCTTCTGTTCACAAATTACTTGCTCGAGCCAAACATACCTTAAGTGAAATCAGTTATTCACTGTGGTCATGAACACAGGCTGATGCAGGCACTGTTTTGTTTTCTGTACCCTGCTACTTTCCCCCCATTAACTGAGGTCTGAACTGTGACCCCCTAGAGCCAGACCCGCCAGCGGTGGGAAAGGACAGAGAGCCGTAGAGTAGGAAAAGACAGTGGCTCCACAGGCTGTCTTGGGCATTTTCTTGTGCTCATGACTTGAGAAGGAAGACGGTACAGAAGGCTTAAAGTTTCACGCCTTCATAAATTGTGGGGTTGAAGTCAAGCCGTGGGCAGGGAGGGTGGCGCCCCTTTCGGTCTTATCTGTGGAGTTTCCAGAGCACTAAGCTTCCCTTCCTCTGCCTGGCATCCCACATTCCAGCTTCCCCAGAGCTCCACCCCCGCCCCTTCCCGGACAGGTTTCTAGAGGGGAGGGGTTTCCACTTCAGCTCGGGAGTTGACAGCTGCTGTCTCAGAGATGGGGGCACCGGGCCCCTGGGCAGAGCACTTGGAGAGACACAGGCCTTCATGTCTGGGGGCTCGTCCCCCCTCCGTACTCATCACCCCAGTGTAACCCCACATCACCCCCGTGGCTCTCCCCCCTTTCAGATCAAGATGCTGTCGGATCGGAAACGGGAGCTGGAGCTCCGTCTCAGCGCCACCTTAGAGGAGAATGACCTGCTCCAAGGGACCGTGGAGGAGCTACAGGACCGGGTGCTGATCCTGGAGAGACAGGGCCATGACAAAGACCTACAGGTACTGGCACAGAGAAGCTGTCGTGTAGGACTAGGGCCGGAGAAAGGCGCGCTTAGTCACCTAGCTAGAAGGAAGGCCTGGGAGGCCATTGCCACCTGTGGGGTCAGGAGTGGGTGAAGTGTCCCTGCGGGCCTGGTGGTGGTTCTCGGACACTCACTAACTCGGATCTGGCTGTGCTGAGAAGAAACGCATTGCTACCCACAGGTCATCCTTCCATTTTGTTCTGAGCCACTGGCCCCTAAAGCAGTTTTACAGAGTTCTTTCTGGGCTATTAACATAGCTGGAACACCGGGGGTGTCATTCTGCCTGCTGGGGTTTGTGAAATCTGCTAGGGATTTCAGAGGGAGCCCGTGACTGTCTATGCTTGGCTCACAATGCTCTCGGCTGCTGCTTTCCCAGGCTGATGGGTTTAGTTGGCTGGCACTGAGCAGAAACCAGGAAGCTGCCCACTGAACACAGCAAGACTTATATCCTACTGCCTCCAGTTGCTAGAAAAGGCATAGGCTGACCCTTTGTGAGCCTAATTAGCCTCTTTTTTCCCCCTAAAGGAAATTGTTTCATGACCATATTTGTCCTTATTTGGGAACTGCCACCAGTCCTTAGCTTAATCCCCAGGCTCACACTTGACAAGAAACAACCCCCTAAACAAGATAATCACTCCCAGCCTCCCCAGGAAGAGAGTGGAGCATCTGCTACCAAGAAAGCTTTGCTGAGCTGGCCTAGGAGCCCCCAGGGCTAGTGGCCAAAAGGGCATTGATTCCTCTTGGGCATCCTCTGGGCACATTCCAGGGAGTGGAATAGATTGCAGCAGTGTCATTTGTGTGGAGGTGGTCAGCCAAGTAGGCTCGAGCATCAGGTGGGTCCCTGCCCAAAGACCAGGCCACGGAAGGTCCCCTGGGCCCAGCGGTCAGCTGTTGAGGAAAGCCCTTGGGTGTGGGATAAGGAAACATTTTAGGCTAAGACCACATGTCACTGACACCATCAGCTAAGCTACCATCTGAGTGATTAACTTTTTAAGAGCAAATTAGCAATTTTTCTCCCTCCATGGTTTTTTTTTTTGTACCTTTAGTTCATAACTTATATATATCAGCCTCAGTAAATGTTGAATAGAAAATGATTCTTGGCAAAAGCCTCATAGCAGTTTTCAATATGGAAAGGAGTTCGCTCATATTTTAAGGTTGATGATGATAATAGTGGTGAAGGTTTCTGTGCTCCATTACAGGGAACAGAATGAGTTTGCTTACATTCTAAAAGTAAGGCTTAGAAAAAAATTGAATCGTTGATTCAAAGTAGTGTAGCAAGTCCTTGGTAAAATTGAGAACAGAGCCCTCCCGCCCACCTTACGTGGTGCGCAGTGATGACTTCCAGCCTGTCACGGGCTTCGGAAGTCAGTGTCTCACCTGCATTTATTACCCCATCAGACACGCTACTGAGGGTTGCCAAGGTTGAGTACGGAGAGAAGGAAAAAAGTACCAAAAAATGGGAAAATTGCCCCTGCCTAAAAGAAACGTATAGGCTAGCATGAATTCACAAATGAAAAGTCCTTATTTCAAATCAAGAATTGGGGACCTGGGGATGGGGAAGATCCAGGACCAGTGTGGACCGTCCGGAACCAGGCCGGCACCGTGGGCTGTACGTTCTCTAGCAGCAAGAGCCCACGTCACGTCACATGCCCACCCTCGTCATCTGCACACCCGCTTTTTCTGGTTGGGCTTCTTCACTCACCCCAGGACCTCCATCAAGTCAGGCAGTTCCCGTTTTGATTTGGAAAATCTGCATTTAGGGGCTGAATCCTCATCTTTCCCAACCATTTGTAATTCTTGGTCTTCATACGGAACTGTCCTAAGCGAGTTCTTAACCATCGCGCCACTCGGCCGGCCCCGGAACTGTCCTTAAGCTGCCGCTGATTTCCAGTGTCCTCCAGAAGACCCTTCTGTTGCTGAAATGGTCTGTACTGATCCAGAAATAAAAATTCCAGCTTATTCAGCTAGTGGTTGAATGGTCCGAAATCATAGACTTGTAAAATGTGGAGGTAGTGGCTTTGGAATGTATATAGTCCTGTGATTTTAACCCTTTTCCTCAGATGAGGGATGAGAGGATGGCGGAGCAGGCAGGATAACAGGTCTGCCACAGCAGAGTAGCCCCCTCTCCCCTTTGATCTGGTTCACTGTGTAATTGGAGTTCTTCTGTCAAGCACAGATTTTAAACCACCGATCAAATCCAAATCTGATTTTTTTTTTCAGGCCGAGAATAGGGATAAAAATCATTATTTATTGAAGACCCAATACATTTTTTAAATCGGGCATTTTTCTAAAGTCTTAATACCCAGTAAAGGATTTTATCTCTTTAAGGGCCATTTAACTGTCCTACTTCATACCCAGCTGGGCATCTTACACATGTGTGCAGGGGCTTCATCCGTGAGTGGGTGGATTTCATCAGCAGAGAGCACCCACTGTGTGGTGACCTGGAGTCTAGACCGCTCTCTGATGCTGAGCGTGTACCATTAGGCAAATCACGTGACATCATACAGTCTCAGTTCCCTCCATGTAAAATAGGGAGTGTGCCCCCACTTCTGCCAGTGTTAGGGGCATGAGTATCGTGAGCTTGAACTTGGTATATTGTACAAGCACAAGGCATTTGGTATCTTCCTTATTCATACATACAAATGCATTTAGTGTCATCTTTGTCACATAAAGGATGATATTTCTTGTTTTAGAGGGTTCTTGTATTTAATAGACTCTTGCATTGGTTGGTTCAGTTTTTCTGCCTAAGTCCATGGATCAGTTATTAACTAGAGAGGGCAGACCTGTCCTGGTCTTTTGTTCTCTTGCTGTTATAATTAATTAAGCACTTGCGCATGTACATGAGTAATTGAACGAATTTTGTGCAGTGCAGGAGAGCTTGTACTTGTCTGTGCCGAACTTCTCCTGCTGAGGTGTACGTGGAGTGTTCTGGAAGATCATTGTAAAGTGCTTTGCCAGTTGAGTATGCTGTTTGTAATCGTGCCAGATGCTTCCTAGGAATGTCTTTTTTTTTAAACCCTAATTTCTTATTTCCTGAGTTTCCTCAAAACTGGGGCTGGAGGAGTTCCCACTGGACCAGCAGGTATTGCTGATCCATGGGACCCGTGCAGAGCAGGCTCGCTAATTCTTTTTTCGTTCTCTGAGCAGCCAGGCTCCAAACTCTTCCTATCTAAGGGACGTCCAGACCTCGGGTTCCATTAGCCAGCCGTTCTCCAATACTGACCAGCAGAAGCGGGGCTCCCAGGACAAGGAAAGAATTGGCTGACAGCTTGGCAAGGCAGCTTCCTCCATTCATGAGAGCTACAGAGCCCAGAGCTGCTTCCTGCTGCTCCTTGGTCTCTGCGTTTCTGCTGGAGCCACAAGGCTACCTGGCCTGGAAGAGACAGTACAGCGTCCGCTCTATTTTTAATGAACAGGGGTGACCCCAGAAGTTCTATTTTCTAAGAGGATACATTACTTCAATTTAAATCCCAGGAAGTTTTTCCCCCTACACCCCCAAAAAAATCTTTTGTGGGGGCAGTCTACAAATACGAGAATAGGAAACAGTGCATCTGTGCAGGCGTAGTATGCGGACATATGCATAGTGCTTAGCAAATGGGTAAAGATGCTGGAGGTGGGGAGGTGGGGTCTTAACATTAAAAGCAAGTGTGGTAAGGGCCGGCCGAGTGGCTCAGTTGGTTAAGAGCTCGCTCAGAGGTTTGAGCTCTGAGCAACAGCAGTTTGAGTCCCAGCCCGAGCTGAGCTGCCAACAGGTGGCAGGATGGCTCAGCTAAAAAAAAAAAAAAAAGCAAGTGTGGTGATGGAGTGCTCTAGTAAGAGTGTGGCATTCAGCAGTCATGGTGGAGTCGACCCGTACCTTCAGCACTAGCAATGTCACCGGGGAAGGGTAACCATTTGGACTCCACAGGGAAGGGGCTGCAGAGAATGCAGAGGGGGGTGAAGTAGCAGCAGCGAGAGAGGGAAGGTGCCCTGACCTATAAGCCGTGATACCTGCATTGCCGACCCCCCTCTACCTCTGGCATCGCTCTCCTTCTCAGGGCCGCAGATGCTGGGCCAGGCCCCTCCCGGGCCCTGGGTTTTGTCTGTAAACAGTGCGGTATGACACAGAAGGAGGAGACTGCTTTTCCCATGGGTTTGGAAACCCTTGGTATTACTACCCAGATGTTATTCCAGTCCTACCCCCAGCTCTTTTCCAGACAACCTTAAATATTTCATTAAACTACTACGTGTGTGTGTGTATAGATATCTATATATATATAGATAGATAGATAGATAGATATGCAAATCTTAAGTGAACAGTCTAATGAATTTTTACAAGTTTATACACCTGTGTCACCAGCACCCAGCTCAACATATATCCCATTACCGGCACCCCACAAGCCTTCTGCCCCCTCCCAGTCTGTACCCTGCCACTTCCTCAAAAACAAAAACAAATCTCCATTCTGACTTTCATCTCTTGTATCTCAATGAAGTTTTTGGCACTTTTTATAAGTGGCATCATACATTATATATTGTCTTACACCTGGCTTTTCCCAGCATCATGTCTATGAAATTCATCCATGTTGTGGCATATGGGAGCAGTATGTTCTTTTTTCACTGAGGTCTAGTATTCCAGCATGTGAATATATCCATTCTATTTTTATTGGCATTTGGATTGTTTCCCATTTGTGGCTCTTATGAATAATGCTGCTGCGTACATCCTGTTGGTCCTTTGTGCACGTTTGTGGTCATTTGTGCTGGGTCTGCGCCTTAAGAGTGGAACTGCTGGGTCCTAGGATGGGCATATATTTCACTCATCGGAAACTGCCAACCAGTTGTCCAGAGTGGTTGTACACCTTCCATTCCCACCAGCAGTGAGAGTCCCAGTTAGCCCATGTCTTCATCAACACTTGATATTATTTTGTTGTTATTTGTTAATTTATTTCAGCCAGCTGGTGAGAGTGTAATGGTATCTTACTGTGTGTGCCTGTGTGTGTGTGTAAATTTTTATTATGGAGAATTTCAGAAAAACTAAAAAATAGAACAGTGTGATGATGCCTCAGGTACCCCACTGCGCAGCTCTACAAACCATCATTCCCTAACCAGTCCTGCCCCATCTTCATTGCATCCACGGGCTTCTCCCTTGTATTATTTTAACATAAATCCCAGAGCTTTTATAATTTCATCTGTAAATAACAAATACCTCTAAATGATAAGAACTTTAAAAATATGTAACCACAGGACTAGTATACCTAAAAAATTTAGCAGTATTTCCTTAATATCATTACATATGTGTAGTCAATGTTCAGATTTTCAATTGTGTTATAAATGTCACAGTTGTTTTTCACATTTTTCATTTGAACCAAGGCACAAATTAAAACAGGCCTACACATTGCATTTGGTTGATCTCTCTTAAGTCTCTTTTAATCCATAGGTTCCCCCTTTATCTTTTTTTTTTCCTTGAAATTTGTTGAAGAAACTGAGCTGTTTGTGCTGTAGAATTTCCCAAATGCGATTTGGCTGACTGTATCCCCCTAATGTAGTCCCGCATGTTCCTCCCTCGTCTGTATCTCTGTAAATTGGTGGTTGAATCTAGAAGCATGACCAGGTTCCGGGTCAGTGTTCCTTGTTTGTTTTGGTTTCGGGAAGCCTCACTACCATTTGCTGTCTCTTTGAAAGCTGCACCAAAGCCAACTGGAGCTCCAGGAGGTGCGGCTCTCCTACCGACAACTACAGGTGAAGGTGGAAGAGCTCACTGAGGAGAGGAGTCTGCAGAGCTGCGCTGCCACCAGCACGTCCCTCCTGTCGGAGATTGAGCAGAGCATGGAGGCCGAGGAGCTGGAGCAAGAGAGAGAGCAGGTGCTGACATCCCTGTCGCTCTGGCACGTGAGGTTTCCTGGGGGCTGGCCCTGGGCTTCCAGAGCCCATCAGTCCTCCCTGGGGCCCGGTGCCTACCATTTCAGCTTTATCCCGGCAAGGGTCTGTGGCTCTGCACCTCTGCAAGCCCCTAGGCCTGCTGGCTGGAGCTGTCAGGAAGCAGGCCCTGGCAGAAGCATGTCCCTAGCTCACTGTCGCCCCAGCGCGCCTTAGGAAATGCTTTAATCATCAGCCTCATATCTCTGGTATTGACAGCATTCTGTATCATTCGTGATCCGTCCTGTTGGCTTCTTTTCATGCTACTCATAATGCACAGACTAATCATGCACAGACTCCCACCAAAGTAATGGACTAGTATAAAGAAGTGCTTTATTTGGCAAATGAGAGGGGCTAGAGGGCAGGGAAAATAAGAATTCGGAGTCTGTATAGATGCATCGGCCCCAGAGTAAGTATCAGTATTTGTTGGGACAGGTGATTTAAAAAAACTTGCTCCTAGAACTAGTATCTTGTCTACTAGAAAAAGATGACCAGGGAGCAGTGTTCTCTAGAGCCCATAATCAAGAATAATCCTTTGTGACGCAGCTGAGATTGCAGCTCTGGGAAGCCTACTGCCAGGTTCGCTATCTCTGCTCACACCTTCGAGGAAACGACAGTGCTGACTCGGCCGTCTCCACGGATTCCTCAATGGACGAGTCTTCAGAAACCTCATCTGCCAAGGATGTGCCAGCCGGCAGCTTGCGCACTGCCCTCAACGAGCTCAAGAGACTGATACAGAGCATTGTGGATGGCATGGAGCCCACGGTAAGAGGCCGGGCTGAGAGGCTCCTTAGCCCACAGCACCCGGCCAGTGGGAGGCTGACACCAAGCGCAGAGAGGGAGGCTAACCCTGGAACCCGGAACCTTCTAAAACCTGCAAGAATTTCTTCTGAGCCCTTATTGTTTGAGAGCCCTGAATACTGAGTGCCAGAGAATGGAAAGCTCCACGGGCATCTTCCTGCAGACACTGGGATACAAATGGAGTCCTTTGTCCATATGGTAATTCTATGCACAGGCCATGGTGGCCTCTAGTTCCAGGGCTTTCCTTGGAAGTTTTGAATGTAGAGATTTGGATCCAGGTAAAAACTCTTAAGTTACTTTTCTGTAGCCCATTGGTCCTAGTGGTGGGGTTAACTGTGAACAGGCACACTTAAAAAATAGATCCGAAGCTTCTGCTAAAAGGATATAAGTGAGCAAAGAAAGTTGAGAACAACAGCAAGGGCCTTTGAGAATCCCAGATGTGGCCCTCGTGGAGGAGAGGAATGTCCCTGTGGGCCTCCTGGCAGGCTGGCATTTCTCATGGCTTCCTGACAGGTTCCTGCCAGCCTCACTCTCCACTCACCCTCCCTGCTCTCAGGTGATTGCTTCTCCTGAGCTTTCATCCTCCTACAGACTACTTGTGTCTTTCTCCCCATATTAGATGAAGTACGATGAAAGGGCGGTTGTCCTTATCTGAACGTGCTGTGATGATTATAGACTGTGTTGCAGCATGGAGGCCGGGGTCACTGGGGGGAAAGGAGCTGTTAGAGTGAGGTGTGCTGCTCCCACACACAACTTCCCTGCCCTGAAGCCTGAGACGGAAGTGAAATAAATGTCTAGGTATTGTTTGCAGATTGAAATGGCGTAAGAGCCACTCTCCTCTAACCCTTTCTTTCTTTCCTCCTCTGTCTCCTCTCTTTTCTCCTTCCTGCTCTCTGCCCATCTCTTGCTGTCCCCCAAACAACCATCTCTCTGCTCCCCTCCCCATTGCTCCCCTCCACTCTCACCATCTCTCTGGTTGTCTGGCTCGCTCTCTTTTGCTGGCAGAGCTCCCGGAGAATTGATGATGACTCCTTAGAAGAGCAGATAAGACAGACCAGTGAGGATTCGAGAGCCCTAAGGGAACTCATGGAGGGAGAGAGGGGTAAACTGAGGCAAAGCCTAGAAGAGCTGCAGCGGCTCCACAGTCAGGTGAGCACCTCCGTCCTCAGTCCAGTGCAGGGAATATGCAGGTGTTCCCCGACTCCTGAGACCTGGTGAGTTTCCCTCTCCCACGTGCATTTGAGAAGCAGTTTTCCTCTGACAGATAGATCCTCGGGCAACAAAAAGTGACCTGAAGTTGAGGTGAGCTGGATGTCTTCAAGAGAAGAAGCCAGTCCTCTGGTTTAGCCCAAAGTAAAACTGTCGTGGATAAGAATAGCTGACCCCCCACTTCCCCAGAGACACGCTGCCTTCTGCAGAGCCCAAGTCACCTGGTGGATTCTGACAGTTGAAAGTGCCTCGGCTCCCAGGACACTCGGGGCTCTTTTTCCAGCAGCGTTTGAGCCGGGAAGTTTGCAAACCAAGGATTGATCTTTGCAGGCCTCTCTCTCTGTGAGTGCCATCACCTCTGCCAGCCTGTTTTTTGACTTTACAAGCACTTACTGCTGCTCTTGCTGTTTCTTCCCTGTTTGATCATGGTTTCACCTCTCTTAAGAACACTGGTGAAGGACATCTATGTTCTGATCTGAAAGGCTTTAAAGGACTTAGTGGCCAGCCCCACCCAGAAAGGAGCTTCTAAAATTTATCCTAGGAGATAAAGGCTCTCCTTTTGACTAGGGTCAGATGTAGAGGTTCTGTCCCACTTGTGGGGGACACCAAACAGGCAGCATTTTAAACCCTGCCCCCACCCAGCCTGCTCCCTTCTTGCCTTGTCCAGAGCTACTCACCCTTCCTGCTACATAAGGCTGCTGAGAGATGGAACTTAAGCCTGGCTTTCGCTTCAATCTGAATCAGCATTTCTTAAATTTAAAGGACCTTATAGAAATAAACTCCTCTGTTTTGGGGGGTTGTTCCCATTAGACTTCCTAATACTCTCTTGGAAGATATTGGGAGTCCCACCCATATTCACCACTGCACTCATTGTGAATGACCAGATAACAAGGACAGGGAGATGCTACTGAACACTGTAGCTTGTTCCTGGCCAGATGTGGGGAGTGGGTTTGAGCATCCAAAGACATTCTCATGCCTAAAACCTAAGTCCTTCAGGTGGTTGTTTGGCCAGGGAGTGGTTCAGACTTAAGTACAGATCTTCCAAACTGGAAGAATAAAATGCAAGAGAAAGTGGATCAAAAAGTTCTTGGGATTAATAGAAGTTGTATCTATTTTAAAGCCTATTTACATTTCTGTGGGGTGCTTCTGCTTATCAGCTCTTTGATATGGGCAAGTTTTTTGTTTTGTTTTGCTGCTTCTCGGAATTATACAACTGGACACACCAGAGGGCATGATTTCATTCAGAAACCTAAGCAAGGTGTAGGTTGCTGAGAGTCTGGAGTGGAACTGTTCAGGAAGCCGTCTCCACCAGGGTCTTGCTTACAAGTTCAGCTAATAACTGATTTAGGCCACTTCCTGTGGCTTCTCTCTCAGATAGCTCATCAAGCAGATGCTACGCTGGGTCCCACGTGGAGCATAGCATTGGGCCTCTCTCATTGGTCATCTCTTCCCAACAGCTCAGGCAGAGCAGCAGACCTCTCAGCCAGACTCTGTCTATGCAAAACCGTCCCATGGGAGTAACTGCCCTCCAAGGCAGTGGGGCGGGACGCAGATTGAGTTCCAAAGTGACAGTGGAAATGGCAGCCGTCACAGCCGGCGTGACGTTCCTCATGCAGCAAGTTCAGCATCTGCTGAGCACCCGCTATGTGCCTGTGCTGCACGAGACCCTGAGAGGCACAGGGTGAACGTGACAGCGCCCCTGCACCCCCAGACCCCCAGCATCGTGAGTGCAGACAGACCAGCTTCGTGCCCTTTGGGGGCCGGGCACAGACAAGGTTATGTGGAGCCAAGCTTCCAGCAGACAGTCCCAAGAGCAGCAGGGTCAAACCGCATCTGATGGATGACCAGCCTCCAAAGCCCATTGCTTTCCTCGGAGAGTGTTCTTTCCCCACCTGGAAACTGGGCCAGAGGTAAAAGGCGTGGGGCCTGGTTTACTGGTTATGTGACCAGCAGCACCCCACCCCTCAGAAGCCTACTTAAGTGAAAGAGAGCCCAGGTTTGATAGAACTGGTAATTATCTGTTTGAGGCAACAGTCTTAGCCAGATCGGAAGACTGGCCCCACACCTGGTGCTCTGGAGAGCTCCCTCTCACCCCGTTCTGCCCTCTCTTCCCCACTTCCCACAGCTCTCCAGGCTCCTGATTTTAAACCTGGTGAGGGCCGACGGGGCGTCTGGAGTAGCTGCTGAGCAGACCTTCAGAGCAATATGAAAGCTAGTTGTCCATGGGCCCCTCAGCCAGTTCCCAGGCTGTGGGAGGTGCAGTAAGAAACACAGTCCCGGTCTGGTTGTTGGGTTTCTTTGTGCTCGACAGGTGAGTGCCAGTCATTCCAGGAGGGGCATGGAAACACGGAGCGTGGGCCGGGAACAGTCCAGGCCTTCGCCGCTGAGCCCTGGTGACCCCCTCTACAAAATCAGTATGGCCTCTCTCCTCCATCGTCCTAGCCACTGCCTGATGGCAGACCTTCATTCTTCCACTCGCTGGCTTTGAGCATACTTCCCAGTGTGTCTGCCTTCCAGCCCAGTCACCCTCCACACAATTTGGGTTGATATTCCTAAAGCACCACTTGGAAATGAGGCACTTTAAAGTTCTGCATTGACTTCCCATCATCAAGTCACAGGGAGCCTCTCTCCCTGACGCCCTGATGGCCACCACCGTCTGGCTGCATTCCAGCCATCGGCCTTCTGTCCTGCTGTTCCCTTTTCACCTCCTTTGCTTGAGCAAAATTGAATATCGGCTATAAAAGGACATGGCACACACTCCCCATGCCTTCTCACATCTGGTGCGTGCTCTCTCCCTCTGCCCGGAAAACTCGTCCCTGCCACCTCCCATGGCTCAGCCTTACTCATCCTTAAAGTTCCTGATCAGGTTTCACTTCCTCCTGCAAACTCTTGATTCCCTTCCTCATGGGGCCGCCCTGGCCCTGCTGTCATAGTTGCCCTCACTGCCTTCCCAGTCAAACTGGGCCCCCACGAGGACAAGCTCAAGCTGTGACTTCTCTTCTCCTAAAGCACCCAGCACAGTGCCTTGCCTAGAGTAAGCACTCAGATAATCGTCAAGAGGGCAAATAAAGCCCTAGATACATAACTTCAGGATGCTTTCTTTGATGCTGTTCATTTGTGTAGGACACTCACCTTATTTGGGAAAAGTGGGTTTCGGGGTGGCAGTAACCTGACATTGTGTAAATAAGCCAGGTCAGTCCTCATGGCAGCCATCAGCAATTAGGTCCTGAAAGGGGTGGGGGTGGGGGTGGAACTGACAACCATGTGCCAGGCACTGAGCTGGGTCCTGGGTGTTTCTTGTCTTGATGGTGGGGAATGGTTATTTTTATTCTGCTCTTTACGACAAGTATTATAGCTCAGAGAGGGTAAGTCCCTTGTCACCTCTGAGGCAGATAGCTGGGGTCTCTACCTTGACCAGGTTCCCCAGGTCAAAGCAAAAAGTTCTTGTGGAGTGTTATCTGGAACATATTCAATGTTGGTAGTCCCTGCCTCGCATGTACTTGAATCTGTCATTTACCTAGCTGGCAGAACACCTGGCTGGCCCACAGCTGGCCCGAGGCCATGTCAGCTCTTATTTGCTCTGAGGAGGCCTGGCTGCCTCTGCCAGGTGCATTCTGGGTCTTGAGTTCTGGCCTGCAAGGCTGTAGAACCTGCTAACAAATGGGGTGAGGCTGACTTCTCACCTGCCGCCTTGTCTGCTCCAGGGCTAGCCGCATGTGCATGCCACAGCCTCTGCAGGGGCCCCAGCCTGTTCCTCCCCAGGCTTCTAACCCTGCTCACCCGAGCCGGCCCCACCACAAAAGCCCCCAGGAACTGGCAACTTTGCCGTCGTCTTTAGTCTGGGGAGTCTGAAGTGTCCCAGCGAAACTTGATCTTCATCCTTAGTCCTGAGGCCTTTTGCTCAGTTTCATTCTGTTTGAGGATGATTAGACCTGGACTTGAAAAGCAGAGGAGTATACTGACAGGTGGCATCTGACCCCTAGTGGGAGGGACAGATCTATATGGAGGGATCCTCCCTTGGAAAAATGTCAAGAGTATGTATAGTATTTAACAAGAGGGCAGGGTCAGGTATCTGGACTCCAGTCTGATCCTATCAGCTATGAGAAGGGGCTCCCACCCTTCCATTCACTCAACAAATATGTACTGAAAGCTCAACCAGTTGGGTTCTGGTTGCAAACAACAGAAACACACTCAACTTAAGCAGAAAGAGAATGTGTTGGAATTCAGTGTCATAGTGTACACAATCAGCAAGCAGGCCGGAGGACTGAGCTCCACAGGAAGGAGGCAGGAACTGTGGGAAGTGGGTGACACTCTGCTGTCCGTGCAGTCATTTCCCAGTGGCCTGTGGCTGTGCTGTACCCTCAAAAGCTGCAGTCCCAGGTAGTGGGGGGTGACGGGCAAGTCTAGGTTTCATACTCATGGCCAGGTGCCTAGGAAATGATATGTCTCTCCCTTTGGGCTTCTATGGTGGGAGAGGGCATGTCCTGTCTGCCACCAAGACGGACGTAATCAGGAATGCCCCCAGAATAGGGATTTCTGGGTGGTGTCAAGCCAGAAAATGACAACTGTCCACTCAGTGCACAAGCATCATACCCAGTCAGGTTTTGGGATGTACACATAGGGCGCACTTCCTACCATCACAAAGCCCAAGGTGTACATTGAGTCGAGTAAGTCGTGGCCACCAAGGGAGCCACTAGGAACGGTACCTCACCACCAGTAAACGGGCCACGGTGCCAGTCACTGAGGCATGCACCACAGAAGAGCTAACAGGTTTGAAGTAAAAGGTGATAACATCATTTAGGTGTCCAAATTCCATGTGGCTTTGACCTAGGGAACAGAATGAAGAGGGAAGACCCAGGCTGCATCAAGTGCTGTCACAGAGACGGGAGCCAGGCCCCAGGCTGTAGGACCAGCCAGGGCCCTGGGGAGAACAATGCTCCATGTTGAGTGGAAGATGGCTGGAAACCAAACTTGAGTCCTTACCCCCCAAAAAGGTGTTTCAGAGCCCTGATGCGTGTGTAGCCTTCGTTCCTCAGTTCCTTGGGATTGCCTTGAAATGAAGGAGGTGGTGTGGTGGTCCGTGTCCAAAGGGGATCTGGCCCCATGGCTGCAGTGCACCCCCACCCCTGGCCCCCCAGCCACTGAGCTCCAGCCTAGCAGGTGGCATCCTTTCTCAGGGAGAGATGGGCCTCCCTTGGATCAGGGGCAGCAGGCATCATTACAGTCATCCCTTTGGCCTCCCTGTAGGTGACATTGCTGAGTGTGGAGATGACTGCACTGAAGGAGGAGAGAGACCGACTCAGAGTAACATCTGAGGACAAGGAACCAAAGGAGCAGCTTCAGAAGGCCATCAGGGACCGGGATGAGGCCATTGCAAAGTGAGTGAGCGTGGCTTATTTGATTTTACTGTAACTACAAGCAGCATGAGTACGTGCTCAATTTTAAAAGTTAAATCATACAGAAGAATATAAAAGTGAAAGTGAGAGTCTCCCTGCTGCCCACCCTCACCCCCAATCCCATTCTCTCCAGACAGACACTATAGAAAGTTGGGTGTGCATTTTTTGCAGATCTTTTTTCTATGTGTATGCAGGCGTGTATACAATATAGTTGTCTTGGATTTTTTTAAAGCATCAAAGGGATGATGCTCTACATGTCTTGGTTTTTTTTCCAACTTATATCTTAGCCTTCCAATTTCATTAAACACACACACACACACACACACACACACACACACACATATTTTCACACACACACACACACACACACAGATGCCAGAG